GGTCAAGTCGCATGTGGTTGTGTAGTGCAAGGGAAAGAAGGTGATGTGATGTGTATCTGGGTGTGACTGATGGTGATTGAACCTACACCTTAGTCGTCGGCAGCAGCCCGGGCGTCGACAACGCTCCAACTTGAGGGGGCCCTCCGAGGCGTTGTCCACATTCACTTTCCTCGTTCGTCACGATGACAGTCAATTAACTCTATCGTACGATTAACTAACTTACAGAAGCCACTAATTATCGCGGGGTATAAGGTTACCGCACAAAACGCACACGGAGTTTCTGGATCAAAGGTCGCTACCGTTTCGCGTTGCAACAGTTAGTTCTAGAATATCAGAGGCCGCACTAGCTAATATTGCCGAATGCACTTATGCAGATTCTGAGTCAGACACAATGTGTCCCGGGGAAGCTCTCCGGTAGGGATGCGCGCCACAAATCCTAGACCGTATTTTTACTGTCCGCGCTTAATTATTCCGAGTTCCCGACAAAATGACAGCGTGCCAATCGTTAGCACTGCTTAAAGACGACTGACTGCCCTTGGGCGTTTTACGCACGACCGAATGTCAAACCGGTATGACACTGAGCCGCGCGTCCTCTCGCGTTCGTTCTTGAAATTAGCGTTTAGCGCGAACAACCAGATTTAAATAAAGGTACGACTTTACTATGTTTCATAAATCAGCAAATACACCAGATCCGACGCTTGTATTAAATATAGCGGCTAAATAAAGTGATAATGTATCCATTATAGATAAAGCAACTTTAACGAAAATCCCCTATAACTGTGCCGTTTTCTTAACATCAATAGTTTTTAAATATTTAACGATATCTTTTGGCAATTGTCTGTGGAATTTAAAAGTATATGAACAAGTCTTTATATTTTATTTAAGCAATGGTTCGGTGACAGTAGGAGAAGAATTTAATGATTTTATGTCAAAAAAGGAACATCAGTAAAATTTTATCAAGATCCATAGCAACTTCCTATTCAGATTGAGTTAAATTATTGGAATGTTGAAATAATTTAGCTTAATCTGTTATTGAGAAGAAGAGAATTATTGAAAAAATTAATAAGCTCACTAGGACTATTACGCCAGAATATCTGCTGAAAGTGTCCTTCATCAGAATGAACGATATTCGTATACATTTGCTCCACATCTCAGCAGTAGACAAACGAATTTATGTTGCCTAGACGTGAAAAAATAGACGTCAATACGTCCTGAACTACAAAACTGACCATTTGTACTTCGTTAAACGAATTACCTGATGACATCAGGCTACTTGCATTACAAACTATTGTTAACTTAGTTATAGCGCTTGCTGCTTTCACGGAGTACGATCTAATGGGGTAGAAAATACGCGCCACTTCTTAAATAAGGTCCTATGCCCTAGTGACTGATATTCCGATATAAATTCATGATACATCTGTTTGATGTCGGGCTTACTTTTTAATCACCAAAACTAAAAAAAATACTTTCAGCAAAAATGCACCGTAATTTATTAGACATCAATGTAAAATGATGAACATTACTTTGGCCACAAACTATCTACTATCCTTGTTTCTTACAGAATAGGCTTATTAAATCCCAACTTAATTATTTGTCAAACAAATCCCAATCCCGATTAAATTATCTACATCGGCAGGCTTATAAAATGCAGCTAAGCAAATATTCGCGGAAGTTGAAGATCACGTATGCTTAATTCGCAACCTGAGGTATTGCTAGTAATTGATGGCAAAACTTTAAATGGACGTGACACCTTTTTCTTACATGAGAATACACACTATTTATCCCCAAAATCTACTTATCTATTTTGACAAAATCTAAATTTAATCGTTTGCGTATATTTTCAAATATAAAAATAGACGTACTTCCGCAGTCTTATACTGCGCGGGTGAGGTGTTGGACGTTATTAAAATCCATTAATTTTATCAAAGCATTTGATAATTATACATCTCGTTGTTCACTGCAATGCACAACGTTTGCCGATAAAGCGACGCTGATCACATCAGTAACTGCGGTCCTGCGGTTGACGTTATTGATGAGTGTATCCCAGTCCGATTGCCCGTCTCCTTCTCTTGCTTTTGGTTCAGTGACGTGAATCAGAGTCTTGTGTTAGCGCTTACATACCTTACAACCTGCTCTTTGCAATGGTTTGCAAAATATCCTGACTTAAAACAATTATAAATTTTTTTGTAATGGTAATAATTTTAATCTAGCCTCATTTCTGAGTGCAAAAAGCTGTGGACGGCTACCTAAGTTGTGATCGGCGTTACATTAATATCGTCAGTAATGAGGCTGTACTTGCCGCGGAAGCATGGTGGGCGCGGCTTTTTAAGCGCGCTTACCATGCATAATCGCGAAGTGTGCAGCCTCCGTAATTACTTTCTGACGAGAGCGGATGATCCATACTATAGGGACGTTATTTCTTGTGATAAAGGACTGACTCCTCTATCCTTAGCCAACGAGCAATGGCAAGACCCAGCAGTACAGTGCATTTCCGACCGGGAGGCCGTATGGAAGGAGAAGGAGCTCCACGGGAGGTTCTACAAGGCTCTACATGAGCCTTTCGTAGACACAGTCGCCTCCCTTCACTGGCTACGTTTCGGTGACCTCTTTGGGGAAACCGAGGGTTTTGTCTGTGCAATACAGGATCAGGTTATTAAGACCAACAATTATCGGAGATACATCCTAAAGGATGGCGCCGTCGACATCTGTCGAGCTTGTCGCCATCCCGGTGAGTCACTTAGGCATGTCATCTCCGGTTGTTCGGCGCTTTCTAACTCTGAGTATTTGCACAGACACAATCTAGTAGCCAGGATTCTACACCAGGAGCTCGCTCTGAAATACGGCCTAGTGGATCGGAAACTGCCGTATTATAAGTACTTGCCGGAAGCCGTGCTCGAAAATGACCGCGCCAGGCTCTACTGGGACCGGGCCATCATCACAGACAGGACTATTCTTGCGAATAAGCCTGATATTGTGCTGATGGACCGGGCACAGTCAAGGATCTTTTTGGTCGACATTACCATTCCTTATGACGAGAACCTCGTGAAAGCCGAAACAGATAAGGTGACAAAATATCTGGACCTGGCTCACGAGGTTACCGGCATGTGGGGTGGTCTGCCGGCCGAAATTATTCCTGTGGTCGTTTCTGCGAACGGGTTAATCCCAGTCAGCCTCCCGGGTCATCTGAGGCGACTGGGACTCCGTGACGGACCGCTCCAGGCTCAAATGCAGAAGGCGGTGCTCCTCGATACCGCCCGCATCGTCCGCCGGTTTCTTTCCCTTTCCCCCTAACCCTCGGCCGTCTGGTCTCCCCTGCCGAGGGCTTCCATCTGGTTGGGTTTTTATATATTTATGTATTTTTTATGTATTTATTTTATTTTATTCATATTTATGTATGTTTACCATTTTCATTTACAATTATATATTTATACTGCCCAACCAGATGAGAAAATTTTATAGATACCCCAAAATAATAATAAGGCGTAGGGAAGTGACGACCCCATCGCCCGCTGACATAACGTTTATGTGACAAAACTGCTACGTCAGCGCAGTTAGTCAACACCTTGCCAAGAGGTGTGAGCGCCGTACCTTGGCAAAATTGGAGGTACAAAGGCCCGATTGTGCACATGGCCTCACCATGAAACGGTGCCGGGTCTGGGCGTCTCCCGTTACCTGACGCCCAATTCATGGATGATGGAATTAAGAAATACGCGCAAAGGGCCGCTGCCTGGAGGTCGCCAGGGCGCGTCTGGAGCTGGCGCTGGACGCGGCAGCATGCGAACCGCCAGTCGACCGCGAGGTGCTGCACGATCACCCAGCAGCCTCTCGCATCCATCATCCCCACCAGCTGGCTTGGTGTTGGCAGGGTCTTCGTTGGCCCAGCAATCAGCACCCGCCACTGGTGGAGTACGTCGCATGCGTTGGTCAATGCAAATGAATAAAAATGCATTGCGGCCGAATTTGGGGGCGAAAGGGAGAGGAATTGGAGGTTTTGGGTATCGGGCTAGGATGCACCGACTATTTGCTGATATTTGGAGCCATCTATTACCGTTACCGAGCAATACCTGGCAGACCGAGTTCGGTACATCATGCGCTCAAAAATATTTGATGACGCCGAACTCGAACGGCTACGACGTGAGGCTATTCCTTTGTCGAATGAAAATGCTACGACAGGAGATGTGGCTCTACGAGTTGCAGAGCAACCCGCACATGTAGATGCCGCCGTAGATCTCCTTGTAGTTGACTCAGGCGACGATGGAATAGTCGCCCCAGAACTAGAGCAAATGAGGAGCATAGTGAAAGAGGCGATTAGGGAAACGCGCAGTAAGCCTCTCGAGAATCGACCGCGACTTCCCCGTATACCCCTAAGCAAGCGGAATCGGGCTGTCGTGAGGGCTCTCAACCCAATGTTGGTGACCTATTTGGAAGCCAGCCGGGACCTTTGCGAGACGGACTCAATTCTTTTTGGCGCCGCTCTGGCAGTTTGCCGTATTATTGGCGCCAAACTTCCCAAGGCTGGACGCGCTACTAGACAAAGTAGCGCCATCCCAGCCTGGAGAAGAAGGATTGAGGACCGTATCGCAAAGGCAAGGGCCCTCATCGGCAGGCTGATAAGCTTCAGGTCGGGCAATAATAGGCCGAGAATTGTGCGCACCGTCAGGATGGCGTTTGCTGGGACAAACATCAGTTTGTCCCAGCCGGATATAATGCAAAAACTGACGGAGCGCATAGACGACCTGAAGCAGAGAATCGCTGCTTAGGGGAAGCGGATTCAGCGATATACCGAGAGGTCGACAAGGTTCAACCAGAATCGTCTCTTCCAGAGTGATCAGAAGAGGCTCTATGAATCATTGGAGCGACCAATGGTACGTGGAACGGGCCCAGCACCAAATCAGGCCGACACTATCGCATTCTGGCGCGGCCTGTGGTCAGAGCCCGTAAACCACAGTGAGGGCCCTTGGACGGAAGTTGTGGCGAGTCAGTGTGCGAATGTTACGCCCATGGACCCCGTCATCATTACGCCGGATGACGTAGCTGAGGCGGTCCGTAGGGCCCCGAACTGGAAAAGTCCGGGACTCGACGGACTGCATCACTACTGGCTGAAGGGGTTCGTGGTGTGTCACGCTGTTCTCGCCCGACAGTTTCAAGAGGCTCTCAACCAAAAGTCGCTCCCGAGCCTCTTCACTACTGGGATCACTCATTTGGTTCCTAAAGACCGAGATTCCACAGACCCGAGCAAATACCGCCCCATAACGTGTCTACCTACCATATACAAGACACTGACATCCATTTTGAGCGCAAGAATCACTCGTCACCTGAACTCAAATCAGGTGATGTCGCGCGCTCAAAATGGATGTCGGGGCGGCGGTCGTGGAACCAAGGAACCACTCCTCATTGACGCGGTCATTGGCAAGGTGGTTAAACGCAACCGTCGGAACCTCTCCGCCGCCTGGATAGACTACAAAAAGGCATTCGACTCGGTGCCTCATACATGACTGAAGAGGGTCCTCGAGCTGTATAAGGTTGACTGTACAGTTCGAGACTTCCTCGGGCAGTGTATGGGGCAGTGGATTACGATCCTTTGTCATCTAGGCGAGCGGATGACGGCTGCGGAGAACCACATAAGGATAAGAAGGGGTATCTTCCAGGGCGATTGTCTGAGTCCAATCTGGTTCTGCCTCTCTCTGAACCCTCTTAGTACCTTACTGGAGGGTTCCGGGAGGGGATTTCAGCTTCGGAGAGGAGGTACAAAAGTGACCCACCTTTTCTATATGGATGATCTCAAGTTATTCGCCTCCAGTCGCTCTCATCTTATGGAACTGCTAAACATCACTTGTGATTTTAGCAATTCTATTAGAATGGAACTGGGGACGCATAAGTGTGCGGTCCTCCATGTCGAAAGGGGTAGAGTTGCTAACTCTGAGGGCATAGACTTATCTATGCCCATCAACATAAAGACCCTATCCGAGGCTGAAACATACCGATACCTGGGTATGTCACAGAACATAGGTATCGATGAGGCGGACATGAAACGGTCAGTTTGCGGTGTGTTTTATGCACGCTTGACAAAAGTGCTCAACAGTCTTTTGTCGGGCGTTAATAAGACACATGCATATAACGGTTGGATCATGCCTGTTCTCATGTATACCTTTGGCATGCTCAGGTGGACTCAGACCGAACTGAACGCTCTGGACAGAAAAGTCCGCACTATAATGACGTCCCACAGGATGCATTATCCGAGATCGTCAGTAATGAGGCTGTACTTGCCGCGGAAGCATGTTGGGCGCGACTTTTTAAGCGCGCTTACCATGCATAATCGCGAAGTGTGCAGCTTCCGTAATTACTTTCTGACGAGAGCGGATGATCCATTCTATAGGGACGTTATTTCTTGTGATAAAGGACTTACCCCTCTATCCTTAGCCAACGAGGCAGTACAGAGCATTTCCGACCGGGAGACCGTATGGAAGGAGAAGGAGCTCCACGGGAGGTTCTACAAGGCTCTACATGAGCCTTGCGTAGACACAGTCGCCTCCCTCCACTGGTTACGTTTCGGTGACCTCTTTGGGGAAACCGAGGGTTTTGTCTGTGCGATACAGGATCAGGTTATTAAGACCAACAATTATCGGAGATACAACCTAAAGGATGGCGCCGTCGACATCTGTCGAGCTTGTCGCCATCCCGGTGAGTCACTTAGGCATGTCATCTCCGGTTGTTCGGCGCTTTCTAACTCTGAGTATTTGCACAGACACAACCTAGTAGCCAGGATTCTACACCAGGAGCTCGCTCTGAAATACGGTCTCGTGGATCGGAAACTGCCATATTATAATTACTTGCCGGAAGCCGTGCTCGAAAATGACCGCGCCAGGCTCTACTGGGAACGGGCCATCATCACGGACAGGACTATTCTTGCGAATAAACCTGATATTGTGCTGATGGACCGGGCACAGTCAAGGATATTTTTGGTCGACATTACCATTCCTTATGACGAGAACCTCGTGAAAGCCGAAACAGATAAGTTGACAAAATATCTGGACCTGACTCACGAGGTGACCGACATGTGGGGTGGTCTGCCGGCCGAAATTATTCCTGTGGTCATCTCTGCGAACGGGTTAATCCCAGTCAGCCTCTCGGGTCATCTGAGGCGACTGGGACTCCGTAACGGATCGCTCCAAGCTCAAATGCAGAAGGTGGTGGCGGTCCGCCTGTTTCTTTCCCTTTCCCCCTAACCCTCGGCCGTTTGGTCTCCCCTGCCGAGGGCTTCCATCTGGTTGGGTTTTTATATATTTATGTAATTTTTATGTATTTATTTTATTTTATTGATATTTATGTAAGTTTATCATTTTCATTTACAATTATATATTTATACAGCCCAACCAGATGAGAAAAGTATACAAATACCCCATAATAATAATAAAAAGGCGTAGGGAACTGACGACCCCATCGCCCGCTGACGTAAGAAATAGTTGACAAAACTGCTACGTCGGAGCAGTCAGTCAGCGCCTTGCCAAGAGATGTGAGCGCCGTAGCTTGGCAGAATTGAGGGTGCAAAGGCCCGTTTAAACTTACGGCCACACTATTAAACGATGCCGGGCCTGGGCGTCTCCCGTTAATTCACGCCCATTTTTATGGATGATGGATAAAAATAGAACGCGCATAGGGCCGCTACCTGGGGCCGCTGCTAGGGCGCATCTGGATCTGGTGCTGCACACGACAGCATGCGGGCTGCCAGCCGAGCGCGAGGTGCTGCACGACCACCTTGCAGCCCCTCGCATCCATCATCCCCTCCAGATGGCTTAGTGTCGGCAGAGCCCTCTCGGACTCGGCAAGCGGCACCCGCTGCTGGTGGAGTACGCCGCATGCGTTGGATAAAAGATATGAACATAAACGAATTGCGGGCGTACTATAAGGCGAAAGGGGAAGAAACTTGAGGGATAGCGTATAGGGCTCGGATGCATCGCTTTTTTGCTGAGCTGGAGCCGTCTGTTCCTGTCACAGAGCAAAACCTGAAAGACCAAGTTCGGTACATCATACGTTCGAAAATATTTGATGATGCCGAACTTGAATGACTACGACGTGAGGCTATTCCCTCATCCGAAGAACCAGCTATAGCTGGGGATGCGGTTTCTAAGGTCATAGACCAGCAGCCATATGTGGAAGCCACCATGGATCTTTCCGCTTTGGTTGATTCAGGCGATGATGGAATGGTCACCCAAGAACTAAAGTAGATGGGGAGTAAATTGGAAGAGACGATTGTTGAAACGCGCTGTACGCCTCTCGAAACTCAACCGCGGCTTTCGTGAGGGCTCTCAAACCAATGCTGGTGAACCATTTGGAAGCCAGCCGGTACCGTTGGGAGACGGACTCAATTCTTTTTGGCGCCGCACTAGCAGTTTGCCGTATTATTTGCGCCAAACTTCCCACGGCTGGACGCATTACTAGACAAAGTAACGCCATCTCAGCCTGGAGAAAAAGGATTGAGGACCGTATCGCAAACGCAAGGGCCCTCGTCAGCATGCTAATAAGCTTCAGGTCAGGCAATAATAGGCCGAGAATTGTGCGCACCGTCAAGATGGCGTTTGCTGGGACAAATATCAGGTATAACGCAAAAACTGACGGAGCACATAGACGACCTGAAGCAGAGAACCGCTGCTTGGGGGAAGCGCAGTCGACAATATACCGAGAGGTCGACATGGTTCAACCAGAACAGTCTCTTCCAGAGTGATCAGTAGAGGCTCTATGAAGTATTGGATTGGCCAATGGTACGTCAAACAGGCCCAGCACCAAATCAGGCCGACATTATCGCATTCTGGCGCGGTCTGTGGTCTGAGCCCGTAAACCACAGTGAGGGCCCTTGGACGGAATTTGTGGCTAGTCAGTGTGCGAATGTTACGCCTATGGATCCCGTCATCATAACGCCGGTTGACGTAGCTGAGGCGGTCCGTAGGGCCCCGAACTGGAAAAGTCCGGGACTCGACGGACTGCATCACTACTGGCTGAAGGGACTCGTGGTGTGTCACGCTGTTCTCGCCCGACAGTTTTAAGAGGCTCTCGACCAAAAGTCGCTCTCGAGCCTCTCATACATAGCTGAAGAGGATCCTTGAGCTGTAAAGGTTGACTTTACAGTTCAGAACTTCCCCGAGCAGTGTGAACATGGCAATGGAGTACAATCTTTTGTCATCTATGTGCGTGGATAACGGCTGTGGAAAGCCATATAACGATAAGAAGGGGTAGCTTCCAGGGCCATTATTTGAGTCCAATCTGGTTCTGTGTCTCTCTCAACCCTCTCAGTACGTTACTGGAGTGTTCCTGGCAGAAAAAGAGTTGCCTACAACCTCGAAAAGTACCAACTTGAAAACAGAAATCAATTTGAAGTAGTCTAATAAATAATTTTATTATAAATGGGCTCTAGCAGAAAGGTAATTTTTTCACTTATTATATGCAAGTGTTGGAATAGTAACTCACCTAATAGTAAATGTTGATAGTAATGCTATGTCCAAGACGTTAATATACATCGCCTTATTCAGACAAAAGCCTATTAGCCTTTGTCTTAAAGATAATGATATTGCCATCGGAATGGATGACCAATGCTATCAAACTAATGCACTCTTATGTCATGCATATTACGAACAATGAAGCATATTATACTTATCTACTCGTATAAACGTGATTATGGCTCGAAAGCAATACGGCCTATTGATAAATTAATTTGTTTGAAGTCTCAACTAAATAGAAATCAGATTTCACTGACAATGATTACGTTTGATGTACTGTTAAAGTACATAAATAGAAAGTAAATAGTAAGTAAGTAAAGAAGTAAGTAAAGAATAAAAAAATATTTTATTAGCATTTAAATTAAAAAAAGGTCTATAATGTGTGTTGGATTATAAGTTTAATATTAGTGTAATCGTAAGATGCACAATATATTTTGATACTATTAGATAATTTATGATGCCTTATTGACCAGCCGTGATCTGTTATAGTCGTCATTTATTGAGCTGCGATGTGTGGGGTGTGACGATTGTTTTGAAAAATGATGTGTATTTGCAGACATTATAAACAGAACAGGAATTCATTCATTCATTAGAGGCTATCATAAGTGCTGCTGCAGAACATACGTCACCCCCATAAAATGCTTCAGACTTTACAATATTAGGGCATTTCCATTGTCCAAAGAAGTGAAAATGGTTAATCATTTGACTTTTTCTTCAGTTGGCGTATTATATAAAAAAGGATCCGTGGAATATTTATGTGTATAAAATAGTAAAGGCAATGAAATAGGACTAGCATAGCTATTATGTTCACAAGTCCTTAAATAAACAATAGATTTAAAAAGAACACATATTTTACTTTCAATGTACTTTCAGTAGTGCTTACACTAAACACGATGATTGTAATAATCGAACAGGTACAAAAAAATTCCAACCAGCCCGCCATCAAGTTACTGGACTGGTTGATTTATTGTCCTTTTTTTATTTTCGGTCTGTAGTTGGATCTG